TTATGGTGAACCAAGTTCACACTGTGGCAGGCCAGGTCTCACTAATGCAGGCCTCCCTAACAACTGTTTCAGTATTGACTGAGTGGTTAAGTTAAATATTAAAAGCCAGTGCCCTCATACAAAGACTGGGATGTAACAAAAGCACACCAAGAGTTTTGCCTAAGCCTTTCCTGAGCCTTAAAGCATGACAAACTAATGAAGGAATTCTTAACAGGACCCATTTAGGATTAAGTTAAGTTTTATTGTGGGTCTGAAGAAACTCCTCAGGCTTCCATAAACAAGTTTATTGGGGGTCAAAAGGAATGCCCCAAACCTCCATGATTTAGCAGGAGACAAGGTAAGGGTAGTCATCCCAGCACCTGGACCCATTTAGATTAAGTAAATTTACTGAGGCTCCAAAAGAAGATCTTCAGGACTCAGACCTTATTTATAGATTAAAAAAAGTTAATCACTTATGTCTTGAATGCACGCTTACATGTAGATATATAACTTAGAAAGTATATAAGCTCTGGAAAACTTTGTAATTTGGAGTTGGTCTGGTGATAATTTCCAGGCCTTTTCCCTGTAACCAGTTGCAGAAATAAAAACTCTCTTCCTTCCCAGTTCATCTGTACCTCCTTATTGGGCCACGAGAAATAGCAGCCCAACCCTCAGGTTGGTCTGGGAACAACACCATTGCACACCAGCCGAGGCAACAGTGAAATCTTGTCTCAAAAAAAAAGGAAACTAAAGCTGAGCAATCTTCCTTTAGAATATCCCAGAAATCCCAGAAATTTTAAACAGCTGATGAAAAACAATTTAGAATTATAATAATCTGTGACGTTTAGTTGCACTGATCGTATTTGACTTAAACTAAGCAGGAACTGTATCTGAACCAGGAAAACTAACAATGTTGCAACTTTCTCAACAAGGATAACTTTACTGTAATAAATAAGAATTTTTGTTGAAAAGTTAAAAACGTTAACAAAGACATGCAGGAAATGGCTCTCTGCTCCTAATTCCCAAAATAATTTCTCTCTTCTTTGAACACATTTTTGGTACCTCTTAGGATGTTTTCCATTTTCTAGCTTGTGTTGTAGTTATTTATGTCCAAATCTGATCTGCCCAATATAGAAAACTATAAAAGCACTGAAGGGACACTTACTGATTCATTTTTATTCACTTTAAAGGGCTTGCTAAGAATGATCCCTTATACAAAGGAGGCAATCTATATTTAATAAAGGAATTGGTGAATTCTTGAACAATCCTTGTGAAGAATTACACTAACAGTTGTAAAATAATGCTAACAAGGTGTTCATATACAACTAAATACTTTGATTCATTTATCAGATAAAAGTGAAGGAGGAGGAAGATGAGCAGGACTGTACAGGGTGGAGAGGGTGGCAACTCTGCTTTAGACAAGTGTTTTTCCACCTTCCCATAGGCGGTAGATGTGGCAAAAAGATGGCTAAGAGGGTTGGAGACTTAGCCTCTGACCATTTGTAGGCTGTATGATTATGGTCAAGATCCTGGGAACTTCTGGGCCTTGGTCTGCCACCACTTCATAAAAGAGGTTGATGAAGTGATAAATAGTTCCTCCTCACTTGTAATTGTATCAGAAGACTGAAGCTATTAGGGATCTTAAAGGTCATCTAGCCCCAGAATGGCAATTCAGCATCATCTTAGATACCTATCAGTGGCAGCTTCTTGCAGTGCTGAGAACCATTTACAGGCTCTATTTGCATTCAGTGGAAAAGGCAGCCTTGACTTAATGATGTCTGCATAAGGTGGGAGGAGAGTGGCAGCAAATAAGTCAAGATGTGCCATCCCTAATCTAGACCAATGCCTTCTCTTCACAGGAGAAAAAATGAGACCACAGCCCATATTTTGAGTTTACCATGTGCCAGGCACTGTGCAAATTACTTTTACATGCACAGTTGTATTTAATCCTTAGATGACTTTAAGAAGTTAGCATTATTATAATTCTCATTTTACAGATGAGGCTTAAGGAAGCAAAATTTGCCTGAGTTTCACACCTTAGAAACCCATATCCATAAACATTTCCCTGTATTGCCTCCTGCAGGTTCTTACTATATGTTATGCCAGTGGTTCTCAACAGAGGGGATTTTGCCCTCCGGAGGACTTCTGACAAAAGTCTGGAGACTTTTTGTTGTTAAGACTGGGGAGGACAGGGTGTTCCTTGCATCTAGTAGGTGGAGGCCAGAGATGCTGCCAAATGCACAAGACAGCATTCCCTCAACCCCTCACCTCCAGCAGGAATTATTTACCTAAAATGTTAATAGTGCTGAGCTTGAGAACTGTGCACTAGGCTATGCAGCAATTGTTTGCAAATGGATGGCCAAACTTTTCCTGCAGTCCAGCAGGTACATAAATATCTCCATTTTACAGACAAAGAAAGGTGATCTTGGAGTCAGGTGGTCATCACAAGACAGGAACTGAGGTAGTCTCATTCTAGAGGCTCCCAGTGTTCCCTGCCACTATACCCCATTATGATCAGTTTCCTTTACTATCAAAACATGCAGGCTCAAGTAGCACCTGCTTACCTATTACCAATTTCAGAAGCTAAGAACACTGTGCCATCTGTGAAAAATTCCCACTGTGGTGTGTGTTTCCAAAGAGAAAAAGTACTTGTTCAACAGTTCAGAGAAGAGGGTCTCTAGGAACTCTTACTATGGAACCACTGATCTTTATTAGCCATTCAATTCGTTGCTTTAAAATAAGACTCTGAGGAGAAAGCTAATTTTAGAACATTAACAAGCTTCTTCAAGAATAATTAGCTCTGTGTGGGTTTCAGCTTTAACTTTTTTTTCCTTTTGATTTTAGGAGCTGGAAAGCCTGGAAGCTTATTTAGGAGGAGAAGAGGAAATGAAACTATGAAAAGCCACGGTACGATTCCTCCTTTTCTTGGAGGCAAGGCACAAGCTGAATAATTCTCTCATCCTGTCTAATTAACTGCCTCAGGTACACATACACACACACACACAGAGTGAGAGAGAGAGAGAGGGAGAAAGAGACAGAGAGAGAATGTACACTCTATTATGACTTGACTTGGAAGACATTAATGAAAAAGCCCAAAATGGAATGCCAGTTTAAACAATAAACCCTATGCAAATAACTTCCTTTCGGATTGAAGGCTTGTCTCCTACAGAAAAACCAATGCTAAAGAAACAGGCAGAGAGATTCTGAAGGTGGAGAGCAAAAGAAAAAGAAAGAAAATAGCTTGACCAAGGACAGGGACTGGCAGGAGGAGGAGGAGAACAAGCTTCTCTCAAGAGGAATCACAGAAAAATCAGGAGGTTTGGGAACATCCAGTCTAAGCTGCTCCGGTGGCAGGGATGGGCGTGGGCAAGGTGCCTTCTTGGACGGTCCGCGCGCCTGCCAGACACGTCCATCCAGCTGGCGCTGGTCGGGCTTTGCGAGGTGGTTTAGGAACTGCACAGTCATTCGATTTGAAATCTTCTCCAATAAGCTTCTCCGTGTGCCGACGCGGGCAGCGTGACAGTCGGTTTCTCGGCAGCATCTCTGGCGCCTCCAGCCCTCGCCCGCCGCCTGCCAGATCCGAAACAGACAGTCCCAGACATTCTGCGACGGGGATGGTTCCAGAAAGCGGAGATCTGAGCGTGGTGAATGATATGTGAACAGAATAGGTCCGGAAAGAGTCTCGGAAACCTTGAATTGGGGTCTGTTTGGAGACTGGACATGCGTCGAGCGCCGCAGGTGGCGGATGGCAGGGGGATGTAACACTGTGGAACACTTACTCTGTGCCAGGCGCAGAGCCCAGCGAGCCATGCGCGGCGCTCAGCTCGGGGAGGTCGGCCAGTTGGGTCTTCAGGGAGGCGAAATACCTTGCATTTACTATTCCCTTCGCCTGGAACGCTCTTCGCGAGACTGGGTGTGGCAGCTCCTTTCCCAGGCTCAGGAGTCTGGGTAAAAGCCAGCCCCGCCTAGAGACCCTCAGGGTGGGCGCCCCATCACGCACTTCACCACTTTTGAAAGCTGGGCTTAGCCCTTCTCTCAGTACTAACAGTCTGTCAGCCTTCTCTTTTGTGCATAGATATGTATATTCTCTTCTTTATTGTCTGCCTTTCCACAAAAATGTAAGCCCCGTCAGTACTGGAGCCTGGTGCGCCTTTCTCACAGTGGCAAGCTCGCAACTGCTCCTGGCACACAGTAGATGCTCAGTAAATGCTCATGGCCTTCCCACCCCGCCACCTGAGGCACTCGACACATTTGCAGCCTGCAAACTGACCCCAAATCATCAGCTGCTTGCATTTGTGCTAGGATCAGAGGGCCATTGAGCTAGAGGAAAGTCAAGGCAGGTGGACTTTCCCCGTCTTTCAGGGAGATTTAATAGTAATGACGGTGTTCTCCCCACCATCTAGCCCCTCGCACGAGAATTGCACAGATCAAAACCACCCGGGCACGAATCGGCACAGCTGTCTCTGGAGGTGGGGTCACGGTCTGCGAGCCCAGGGTCTCACACTGATGCTCTCCCTTGCCATCCTGTGCCTCGAGTCTTCTCTCCCCATGTATTTCCTCCGTTCTCGACTCCTCTGCCTCAGTCTGACTTCCTCAGGAGGTCGAGTTCTCTCTAACCCATGCTACCGCAAGAGTCCCCTGGAGCTTTCTCCGTAAAACTGCCCCTCCCGCGCCACTCTCACTTCTTCCTCCTTCCCCTGCCCGGAAACGCCACTCTAGGAACATTTACGAACGCCTGCTGCGCGCAGGCACCGAGCTATGCCGCCGGGAGCCCCACCCCGCCCCCTGCCGCCGCTCTCGCCTCCCTCTGCGATCCCCACCCGTCCGTAATCCGAGGTCCCTAGTCCCCAGCTGCGTCATGGAATCCGCGGGCTTCTTCCGAGGGCATCGCCCCACCTCCTTCCCCGAAGGCGACTCCTGATTGGTGGGAGTATGCGTCACTCTGACGGCCTCTCGGTCCTCAGGGCCCCGCCCCGGGGCCTCGCAGGCCCCTCCCCTGCGCTCCCGCCCCTGCGCGGCTCCTCCGGCTAATCGCCTGGCGGCGCGCGTGGAGAAGTTCTGGGCAAAGTATTGAGAACTGGCCGCGTGCTCGCGGCGCCCGCCAGCCAGCCCGGGAGAGGGGACCCTAGCGCAACGCGGCCGGTGCGCAGCGCGGCTCCGGCCCGGCAGTCTGTCCGCGAGCGGTCGTTCCCGCCCCAGACTCCTGCGGCTGGTGCGGGAGCTATCAGCTGCACGTTCCAGGGGTCCGGAGAAGCCCGGGTTGTCTTCTCTCGGGTCTGTGCGCGAACCCCAGAGCCCGGCACCGGGAAACTAGGAGGCGTCTCCGGCGGCACAGCGCTCAGGTGAGCGTCGGGGCACCAGCCTAAATGGGGCCGCGGTGTTGAGGGGCCTGGCGGGCGGGCTTGGAAGGGCTGCGGTTTTGGTGGGCGCCGCTAGTCTCCGCAGGACCGGGGTCTCTGCCTCTGTCGCCCCGGGTGGAGCCGGCCCTGGGGCAGCCCCAAGCCAGGACCTCACCCTCAGTGCCGGCTGCAGCTCCCGGGGAGGGAGGACCCAGGTCTCACCCACCCTAGGGCTCCGTCCTTCGAGGGACCGCTGTGGGGATTGACGGCCAGGACGAGCGGAGCGCGGGGGTCGGGGCGCAGGTGCAGGAGGATGCAGCGTGCGGAGCTGCCCTGGGCAGCCGGGAGGCGCTGCGCCGGGGTGGGAGGCGCAGGAAGCCTGGTTAATTGGGCCGAGCGCGACGCTTTACCACATCCGCGGGATGGGGCGCGCCGGGGAGACTGGGACAACGCTCCGTGGGGCAGGCGCTCCGCTCGCCCGCCTTCCCAAACCAGGCATGCTCGCCCCTTAGCGCTGCCAGGTTCCCCGGGGAGCGTTTGTAGCCTGCAGAGTGGCTGATGGACACTGTCGTAGGTCGTCCAGATACTTCTTGAGCCGGGGCCTCCGCCCCTCCTTTGGCAACGGAACTTGCTTGCTGCGTTCTGCCCACTTGTGCTCACCCTTCTCCACCTCACAAGCCAGCAGTCTGTTCAGTCTGGACTCTTGGAGCTGAGGGGACTGTGAAGTTGTCTCTTTCCATGTGTCTGCATACTGCGCAGAGGTGCTTGAGGCCCCCTAGGTGTTGCTCTGACCCTCAGAGTTTGAGTATTGGGCTGAGGGCATTCAAAAATATTTTAAACTACAGCTGCAGAATAGGTACTTCCACAGGTACATGAAAGCGAAGGCCTGGCTTCTGATCATCCACACTGTATCATCATACAAGGTGAGGTCTTTCTCCTGCCTAAAGATCAGTCAAGCAGATCTGGGCTCGTATGCATCCAAGCTAAATGACCGTCCCCTCCAGCCAAGTCACATCACCTTGTTTGTTGTCCTGAAATTGTCTCCTCGGGTTATCTGCCTTCACCGACAAGGATGTAAATACCAGGAAAGCAGAGACCTTGTCTGTCTTGTTTGATCACTGATCCCCTGTGTCAAGAACACACAATAAGTTTGCAATAAACATTTATAGAATGAATAAATGAAACCTCTGTAAATATGAGGAATGGCGATTTTATATAGCTGATTTTGATTTTTATCCTTATCCTTTTTTTACTTTTGGGAAATTTAACAAATAGCAATACTAGGAACTTTTGTAGATTACCTCATTGAGCTTACAGAAGTCTGTTAGCTAGGTATTTTTAACCAGATGGGAAATTGAGGGTCCAGCAGGTTAGCCAGTGTTGCCAGGGTTATCCTGGCAGAACTAGGATTCCAGCTCATTTTGTCTCTATTGTGCTGGACCTCTTCCAAGAAACTAAAATGTGGTTTCCACCAGTACAGCTAATAGACATTTAGCTTTATTTGTATCAAAAGCTGTGGCTTAGCCAAAAGATTTACTGTTTTATAATTGAGATATATTTTCAATAACCACTAATGGTTACTTCATAACCCAAACACTCTCAAGCTGCCGTAAGCTGTATTATCTCATTTAATTTCTACTATCTTGCTGGGCAGTGTTGTGCGGTTATCTCCATTTTTCAGGTGAAGAAATGGAAACCAAGGTTTAGGAACTTGCCTAAGGTCACCAGTAAATTGCTGCTAGATTTTTTAATGGTCTGACTTCAAACCCTTAACTCCTTCTACTCGGTACAGGTTCTTGTCCCACTCTTTAATTAGATGTTAACTCATGGTAGAGTCCAGTGACACAAATATTAAAACCATCTGAGATTGGATTATAAACTTTCTGGTGCCCATATCAAGTGTCTAGTTGTACTATTTTCAGAATCCGAAAGACTTACTGCCATTGATTTTTGTGGCTGAGTTTGTGGTTTGTGAGCCTGGTAGGTTGGGCAGGCTTTTAATATAGAAGGAAAGGAAATCCTCTTTTCATTTAAATCTAAAGAGAAATCTGATTGGCTTTACCCACGGTGGTAAATGAACTTGGAACAGTGATGCTTTATACCTCTTAAAGAAAGTGCTGGAAAGCCAGCTAGTTCTTCTGTTCTCTAATGCAGAGTGGAGAGTTAGAAACCACTGCTGATTCCAAAAGCTTCTGCAGTAGGCTTTCAGTGAAACAACTACATTTCAACTTTCCCCTCTTTTTTTTTTGACGGAGTTTCACTCATGTTACCCAGGCTGGAGTGCAATGGCGCGATCTCGGCTCACCGCAACCTCCGCCTCCTGGGTTCAGGCAATTCTCCTGCCTCAGCCTCCTGAGTAGCTGGGATTACAGGCACGCACCACCATGCCCAGCTAATGTTTTGTATTTTTAGTAGAGACGGGGTTTCACCATGTTGACCAGGATGGTCTCGATCTCTTGACCTCGTGATCCACCCGCCTCGGCCTCCCACAGTGCTGGGATTACAGGCTTGAGCCACCGCGCCTGGCCCAACTTTCCCCTCTTGTGCTGATACTGAGGGTGGAAAGTTGGGGAAGAGTGGCATGGGTACCACCTAAAGGGCTCACGGCAAAAAGGGGATGGGTAAGGAATTAGTGATACCTTCTTTCTTCTACTTTATTCCAGTTTGGGGGCCGGTATAACATTTCCTCTTGCATGAGGGTCTGGATAATGCAGTTTTATTTATAATGTGCTTCTCAGCAGTACTATATTTTTCTATTTGTTAATTCAATTTCAGGAATACTCCAGAGAGGGTTGGAGAACCCTGCAGCCTAGAATGCCTGAGGAAGAGCTTGAGCTGTAGGATACCAGGGAAGATGCAAACTGTTAGGTAGAAAAAGTCTTCCAAGCATAATTGAGAGTTGTTTATGGTTTTCTGCACATTCCTGTCCTAAATTTACATATTCATCAGTTTTCTGGCCCCTTTTGGAATTTTTTTTTTTTTTTTTAAACTTTCCAATTGCTACCGTTGAGATCACCTTCAGGCTCACCGTAACTCTTGCCTCAGTGTCTTTCATGTTGGTCCTTTCCTGGAGGCCCTGCAGCATCTCAGTTCAGGATCTTAGGGACTTCTGCACTCTGTCTTAACATTGTCTACAGGTGGGTTTTCCTGTCTCTGTTTATTCCATGGTAGGTAAATTCTTTAAGTACTATCAGGGTGTTGTTAAAAATTCTTGGGTGGCTTAAATAATTAACAGTAACATTAATAACAGCAGTAATAGCTGCTGAACTTTTATATACCGGGTGCTGTCATAACTTGCTGTACCTTCATTATTGCATTTAATCCTCAGGGCAGCATTGAAACAGGCACTCTTTAATACCTCCAGTCTCCAGGTGAGGCTAGGAAAAGTTAAGTTCACAACTGCTTTGCAACCAACATATGGTGGATCTCAGACTCAGTCTGCAAGTTCTTTTCTCTACTTATTTTCACATAGGTTCCTTAAGTAGGGCTAAGGACCCCACAGGGTCATGGGGTGTCCCTTATGCTGTGCTGAGTTGCAGGTTCTGAGAAATAAAGAGACAGGACACAGAAGTACAAGAAAAACGCAGCTGGGCTCAGGGGGTACACACCACCTATAAGCAGAGACAGTCGAGGCCCCGAATGTCCAGAAGCATCTGTATTTATTGTGTATAGATTAGGGGGCAGGGTAGTGAGTAAAGTCATCTTTAAGGATAGTGATAGGGTCATGAGCAATAAAACAAGGGGTCCACCCCCATTAGGTCACCTAGGCTACGAGGTGGACAGTGTGCAGCGCGGGGTCCATTCCCATTAGGTCACCAAGGCAAGGAAGTGAGCCGTGTGCAGTAAGGGGTCCACCCCCATTAGGTCACCAAGGCATGGAGGTGGGCTGTGTGCAGTGATGAAGAGGGTGAGCAGTAACACTGTAAACTGAGATATACTTCAGGCCCTAATTATTTCAGGATTCTGCTTAGCTCTCCTTCCTTGATACCTGTTTGGGGCGGTTACCCACACCTTAGCCTAAAGTCAGGATCCAGCAGCCTGGGCTCAGCCTTGGCCTTCATCCCATCATTCCCCAACCATGTGAGCTGGTAGTCTGAGTTTTATTAATCAACCAAGTGTTTTGCCTTTGTCCATGCACTCTTCTTGCCGAGAAAGCTCTTTGGTGTCTCCGTGTGAAAACCTAAGTCTTTCAAAGCTGAACTCATAAACTACTTTTGTCAGCATAATCTCTCTAAACCCAATTTCCCAGAGCAATTGTTTTTTTAAAATATGAGAAACTTCCCAGTTCAGTTTCTGATCATGAAGTATGTTGCTGGTGCCCTTCCTTCCTTCCTTCGGCACTTCTTACCTTTTGCCTTCCCCTATTCCTCTCACCCTGTTGTTTCCTGGCCCAGTAATTTATTCGAATATATTGCCTCCCTTACTGGATTTTAAATGCCTTGAAGAGGGGAGGGTGAGTGTGTGTTCCTTAGGTTTCTATTCCTTTACGTCACTAAACATGGTGTCCTGTCTATAGTAAGTGCTCAAATGAAAAAAAGAATATTAAACAGTTATATTTGCTTGCCTTTTGTTAGAATATTCTGTGAAAAAGTAGTTGGAATGTGATATTTTGTTTTCTAGTTTTCTAATTTGTTTTGATCCATGGTATTTTAATGCCCTCATTATTTTATGATGAAGCAATAGATTTCTGAGTTAAATCCATGAAAAGCACCTGTTCTGGTTGCTCTCATTTTTTGGACCAAGGAGGTATTTGCAAGATCTTAAATTCACACATATAATAATTATTGTCTGTAGATAAATATCTTGCCTATGTTGTGTACTATTTTTTCATATCTATGGTAATGCTGCCACTAAAAATGTACTAAAATTGTTATGGAATTCAAATGGAATTTTTGTTAATATTTTATGAATCAATTAATATTCCACATTTTAAAGCAAATTTGCAAGACCCTCTGAATCAGCTCCTTCTTACCTGTCTAGATGCATAGCTCACCACTCACCAT